CTGGGTGACTCCGACCCTAAACCCTGGGTGACCCCGACACTAAACCCTGGGTGACCCCGACCCTAAACCCTGGGTGACTCCGACCCTAAACCCTGGGTGACCCTGATCCTAAACTCTGGGTGACCCTGACCCTAAACCCTGGGTGACCCCGACCCTAAACACTGGGTGACTCCGACCCTAAACCCCGGGTGACCCGGATCCTAAACCCCAATCCTAAACCCTGGGTGACCCCGACCCCAAACCCCGGGTGACCCCGATCACATTTTACATCGTTCACCTCAACAGGTCTGATGTTTAACTGTTTAACACGTGAACATGAACCACGGACGGCCTCCTGCACTTCGCTGTCTCAGGTGAGTCTGGTTGAACTTCTGGGAATCAGCATGAGCCCAACTCTGCAGTAAGCCCCACCCCTTCAGACTCACCTGTGTTGATGTCTCAGGTTTTTTTTTTTTTACCAGAATACATTTCTGTTTTCAACCTGCTGACGTCAAACTCACCAAACTCCCAGCATGCACTCAGAGACACAGACATTTTAGATTTTTACAAGGAAACTGAATTCCATCAATCTTTCAATGAGACACTCGTACAAAAACATCAATTTATACATATAAAAGAAATATATAGTTGATGAGACTCGGGTCAGACAGCTGCTCTGTTAGTGGAGCTTTATACAAACTCCTCCTGGCAGGTTCCTCTCAGTTCACAAGACGTCTCCAGGGTCCACCTGCTGGTGGACTTTGTTCTTATTGAGACGCTTCAGTCTGGCAGGTTCACCTTCCACCTCCTCCAGGGTCAACACACTTATCAGCACTGGGACAAAGACTTAAAGGAGGCAAAGGATCATCAGTGTGAGGAGCAACGAAACCCAGAATGTGCTCCTCCAACAGGAGGCGCTCATGTCCCATCAGATAGTCTCTCCAGAGCTCCAGCAGCAGGTTGATAATCCTTACAGATCTCAGACCAGCAGCCAGAGCCGCAACGTCCAGGTCCAGAAACACTCAGATCCAAGGGTGAACAGACGCCTCTGAAACTACTGACCCTGCCCAGCAGGGGGCGTCCACACATTCTCCAGACACCACAGGCTCCTGCAGCAACCAGGAGACACTTTGAACTGGCTGATCCTTCATCTTCCACACTGTGAAACCCCACGGTGGAAAAGTCCTGAAACTCAAAGACGTGCAGGACTGTGTGAGCCAGAGGTCTCCACACCAGGTCTTTAGAGACAGACAGCAGGACTGTGTGAGCCAGAGGTCTCCACACCANGTCTTTAGAGACAGACAGCAGGACTGTGTGAGCCAGAGGTCTCCACAACAGGTCTTTAGAGACCTGGTGTGACGACACGTTCAGGTGAGTCTGTGCTGACGGGAAATAAAACAGTAATCAAACATGAAGAACAGTCAAACCCAGTGAGTCCATAGAAACCAACAGTGTTTGTTCTGTCGCTGTTTCACTGTTTGCGTCATCAATTATAAGTCTTCTTATAAAATCATTTTTTTATTTCAAAGATTGTCATTAAGAAACAAACCAGGAAACTGTTCTAATCACTAGTTGATCACAAACTATTTGAGTTATTACTCTCTGTCTCATTTTTATATATTTTTTGTTAAATATTCTTTCAGTTGCTGTTGTTTGATGTGAAACAGATTTTTACCTCTGGTGTCATGTTTTCTCTTTAAATGCTGATTCATCTCATGATTCTTAAAGTTTTAAACCATATTTTCAACACAACTAATGGTGTATTATTTTATTTAACTTTAATATTTGCTCTTTATTCGATGTCCTTGGGGACAAAGTTGTTTAAAATGTAATCTGTGAAGAAACTGCACCTTTAGAGCTGAGCACCTGATGTTTGTTGAGATTCTCCTGAACCCTTCCATTTGAACCTGGTTTACAGTTTACACTGTCCAGCTCAACGAAACCCTAGTTTCAGTTCACCTGAGTCAACAGCATGACCCTGGTCAACCTGTGGGCGGGACCTCAGGTCGTCACGTTGCTGAGGGGAAGTTTGATAAAAAGTAAAAGTCAACAAGGCCGAGCCCTGAATAAAAACACTGATAATGTTCCTTTGACAACTGATCACACGTCAGCCGTCAATCAAGGTAAATACCACTGAACCTGACCATGTGCAGCACGCCCCTTTTCCTTGGATCCCATTCTCTGAACGTCCGGCCGTTATCTTCAGCCTCGTTAAACTGTTCCTGACGGTTGAATGTTTTCAAATATATAAAAGTGACATTGATGAGAATCAACAATACTGAACAGAATTATAAACTTTGATGATGCTTCTTAACACTGAAGCGAAACACAAATGAAATGATTCAAGTCAATGAAACAAACAAAGCCATGAAAGTCAAAGTGTGTTGGTGCTGAGTAAACACAGCAGAACCCAGCCCAGGTTCTGTATGTCCATATCAGCTTCATCACCTCACATCAAACACTCAGCTGCTGCACCTCCACACACACCTCGTCCTGTCTTTGTGACGCAGCCGAAAAACACACCCGGACTTTGGTTGAAAATCTGTGCAGCAACAATGAGGATCAACTTTCAGGCTGGAATTTAACACAATAAAGAAGAAAGTGGGACACGGAGTTTCTGCCAAACTTAGGACGACCACTGAATGTGATGAACACCAGTGGCAGTATCATATATTCGATTTAATACCATACGTGCATTTGATTTAGTATTGGTGAAGGTTCTGT